TTACATTCAAGAGATCTCTTTATTTAATCAATTTACATTCAAGAGATCTCTTTATTTAATCAATTTACATTCAAGAGATCTCTTTATTTAATCAATTTACATTCAAGAGATCTCTTTATTTAATCAATTTACATTCAAGAGATCTCTTTATTTAATCAATTTACATTCAAGAGATCTCTTTATTTAATCAATTTACATTCAAGAGATCTCTTTATTTAATCAATTTACATTCAAGAGATCTCTTTATTCAATCAATTTACATTCAAGAGATCTCTTTATTCAATCAATTTACATTTAAGAGATCTCTTTATTTAATCTCAAATGACAAAAATACATTGGTAACGTTCTGAGACAAGTTTTGAAGGAAATAATAAAAATAATAAAAATTATAAAAATAGCAGAATGCTTTAGTATCGAAAGGAATACTTGGGACCTTGGGACTGTATGATTTAATGTTTTATGATTTGTTATAAAAAAAAACAAAAAGTACAAAAAAATTTTATTTAAAAAAAATGAATTTATCTAAACTGTAAATAAAATCAAAGACTGTGAATAAAACGGTCCCTTTTTTAAGTATCTAATTTGTTTTTATCTCAATCTCTGATGTGTAGATCTGCGTATGAATCCTTATCCTTTATAATCTGCAGTTCTATTGTTGTTAAAGATCTTTATTGTACTTCCGTACATTCATTGTTTGTGTATAGACAGTACCTGATGCATATAAACTAGGAGTAGTTATAATTTCTGGGGGAGTACGCACATAGAGATATAGACAGTACCTGATGCATGTAAACTAGGAATAGTTATAATTTCAGGGGGAGTACGTACATAGAGAAATAGACATTACCTGAGCCATGTAAACTAGGAGTAGTTATAATTTCAGGGGGAGTACGCACATAGAGATATAGACAGTACCTGATGCATGTAAACTAGGAGGAGTAGTTATAATTTCAGGGGGAGTACATAGAGATAAAGACAGTTCCTGATGCATGTAAATTAGGAGTAGTTATAATTTCAGGGGAATATATAGAGATGTGGGCAGTACACCTGATGCATGTAAACTA